GTAACAATCATCCAAACAAGTTGTTAGAGAGCATAATTACTTTTCTTTAATTATACTCGAGTTTATATTAATAAAGTAATTACTTGGCCGGATAAACACATTAGAAAATTTTTGTAATTGCATCCAATGTGTTGTCTTTTTCAATTTATTTTTGAAAATTTTCTTTCTTTTTATCCAAGAGAAAAAAGAACACACAAAGAATGAGCCGTATGTATTTTTGAAGGACCTTCTAATTCAAAATTAATTTAGCAAGATTTAAATTATTATTTTTCGATATTTTCTTTATTCAACTGTATCTCTATACAAAGTTGATTTCTTGAGATTATGTTACGATTCAAGTGGAGCAAATTTGAAATTGCAAGTAAAGGAAGATTCTTTACGAACTGTTGTGTCAAAAATATCATTCTTGTGGATTAAATTAGTATACTTCAATCAAAAAAGATTTCGTAATCTTAAATATTCATTATAGTATCTCATAACATTTTTTATCTGCTTGACACTATACTTTGCTCAATTTTTAATATCCCCGTTCCCTTTTTTGTATATTTGCAGTTCGAGGTTTTTTTTTTCCATAACGATATTCGAGTTAATTTGCATATAATTATATAGTTGAGTAACCGCTATCTCTCCTCAAAACATGGATTAGATTAAAAAAGTCATTCCATATTGAGATTTAAACTCTAGTCAGCTATAATTTTTATTATGCTTCAATCCCACTTCCTTTATTTTAGTTTCATTTACTTTATTTTAATTAATTAGAGATATTTGTCCCGGATAATGGAATATATATCCAATGTTGCCTTTCCTTCTCTTACTCGGTCAAAATAGCACTATGCAATCACAACGTGAAATGTGCCACTGATATTGTTTGACTATACTTTCCTATTGCCAAAAGCAAAATGTGAATATACAAAAAAAAAAAATGTTGTAGTTGATCACACTGTTTTAAAAGGCTTTTTTAGGACTCGCCTCGGGGCTCGCCCCGGGGCGGGGCACTATCAAAACGCCTTGAGACTTATGTGTAGGGCTTAGTTCTCTAAGGCTTACGCTCCCAAGCGTCCAACGGTGCACCCTAAACACACCTAACGCTCAACGCTCATGACTCACCCTACCGTTCCTATGCAAATTATGGGTTGAATTCACTAATTGCACTGTTTGCTCCGAAAATTCTTTAACAAATGAATGACTAAAGTTCTTTTTATCTATAGAAATATAAAAATTGTGAATAACTCAAATAACGAAATATATTATTGCATACTTACTAATTGAGAACATCTTGAGGGTGAATATCATTTGAATATTTCTTCTAAAAATGGATAACCAAAATTTATATCTTTACTTGATAGATCTTCATGTCTTAGTTCTATGTCTCTCAAAATTATCATAAATTTGTTATTTTACTATTTAAAAATAATTTTATATTTATTCATGAAGGAGTAATATTTTAAATTACAATGTTGAATTTTTTTTATGTATTTACTTTTAAAGAGGTAAAATATGTAGCTTGATAATATTTTTTAAGAAATTATAATTTTTAATTGTTTAAAAATTAAGAGGCTGGAGTTAATTTATATTTCATAGTAACTTTAACAGTATTGTATTGTTTATACTTGTAAAACATGTTAAATATTTTATTTTATATGAATTTCTTTAGTTCTTTTTAGTTTTCTTGAACTTTTAATGTATCTTTTATATTTTATTGTGTTATAATGCTATATTATTAATTCATAAATTTAAAAAATTAAAGATCCGTAGGGCTTACGCCCCATGCCTCGGGGATTTCGCCGCACCCCGTATTAAGTAAAATGCCCCGCCTCACGCCCTCGCCTTTTGAAACACTGGTTGATCGCTTGATTGTACCTTAGTTTTCCACCATTTAATTTACTCTAGCCTTATCAAGTTACCATAGTGAATACTTTTTTGTCTCTCAGAAAGAGCGGCTAAACGATTAGATGTAATTGCTCTAATATTATTTTATCAACTTGTCACGATCCAAATCTTAATTTGTTATGATGACGCCTATCATGGTATTAGGCCAACTGACATTTCCAATATTTAATAGAAAATGAATAAAAGTAGTTCTAAATGACTAAATTTTCATAAACGGGGTAAAACCCAAAACACAAATGCGGAACATAACTCCCAAATCGGGGTGTCACTGAGCTCATGAGCATCTATACATCACCAACCTATAAAAGTAATGACCACAAAGGTCTGGATCTAAATACAATAAAAAGGAAAGATAAGGAAGGAGAAACAAGGATTGCGAACGCGGGGTAGCTACCTCGTAATCTCCAAAGATCAGTTGAGTACGATATCAACACCCGCCGTATCCGGAAACACCTGGATCTACACACGAAGTTCAGGGTGTAATGTGAGTACAACCAACTCAGTAAGTAACAAGACTAAATAAAAAGCTGAAGATAGTGACGAGCTACACAGTTACAGTTCAATTTCAGTGTTCTCAACAAAGAAAGTAGACATGCTTTCAAATCCGGCCATTTAAGTCAAATCAGTTTATACATGCTAAGTTTAACTAAAAATCGAATATAATATCTCTCAGAAGTTTCAAATTAGTGATAAATGGCAACTGTGTGCAACAACAATGAAATCAAATCAACCTCTCAGAGCAATAGTCACTCAGTCCATCACTCATTCCTCACAGTCACTCAATACTCAACACCCATCGCAAATAGGCCTCCAAACGTCTCGAATCTAGCCAGGAACAATACAATACAATCAATACGGGCTAAGGAATCAATTTTACAAGAAATTATGAAGTTATAACTCAATAATCCGAAAATGGTTCAAACCGGCCTCCCGAGTCCACGACCGGAATCCAACAAAACTCACAAAAATCGAAGGCCCATCCAACCACTAGTCCAACCATACAATTTATATCAAAATCCAACACTAATTCGTCACCCAAATTCCCAAATTACACTCTCTAATTTTCTAGACTTAAACTCCTAAATTACACCCCAAAAACATACCTACTAGGTGGGAAAATCAATAGATAAACATAATTATTGAAGAAATTTAACCACAAGTGACTTATCTCAAGAATTCCTTTGAAATATCTCTAAATAATCGCCCAATTCCGAGTTCAAAATATTAAAATGAAGCCAAAATCGCGAGCCCTAACATTTATATGTTCTGCCCAGTTATATCGCACATGCGGTCCCAAAATCCGCTTCTACGGTCCCGTTTTTGTGGTGAAAACTCTTCTTCTGCGGAAGTCACTAATTCTAGCTGTCTCTGCTTCTGCGACACCTTTACCGCATCTGCGCCATCGCAGGTGCGAAAAACCCATCGCATGCGGTCTCTGCGATTCCCTTCAACTCCGCTTCTGCGGTCCACCTGCCGCACCTGCGGCATCGCACCTGTGGCCAAGACCCTCGTAGGTGAGATCACACCAGCAGAAACCAACTTCAGGTGCCTCTTAAATCAATTCCAAGTCCGTTAACCACTCGAAATCAACCCGAGGCCCTCGGGACCTCAACCAAACATACCAACACGTCATCAAAAACATGAATCACACTCCAATTCAAGTCTAGTGAACTTTAAAATTTCCAAATTCTACAAATGACGCCGAAATCTATCACATCATGTTCGATTAACCTCAAATTTTCCACACAAGCCACAAATGACACCACATACCTACTCCAACTTCCGAAATTGGAATCCGACCCCGGTCAAACTTTTCAAAATTCCAACTTTCGCCATTTCAAGCCTAATTCTACTACGAACCTTCAAATTACAATCCGGACTCGCTCCTAAGTCCAAAATCACCTAACGAAGCTAACGGAACCATGAAAACTCAAATTTGAGGTCGTTTACACATAAGTTAACATCCGGTCAACTTTTCCCTTTCCATTATGAGATTAAGTGTCTCAATTCACTATGAAATCCTTTCGGACCCGAACCAACTAACCCGATAGGTCATAAAATAACTGTAAAGCACAAAATGATTAGTAAATGGAAAAACGGGACTACAGCTCTCAAAACGACCGACTGGATCATTACACAATGAGATGCTCATTACTAAGGGACGAACTTGTTGAGAAACAAAGCTTATTTTCTCAAAATGTAACGAATAACATTATATTAAGGGTGTCAACAATTTTCTTATGATTCATTCTCGAACATTTAAGTAAGTATTATTTCCTCTGGTTCATACTAAGTGATTTTTTGTCCTTTTTATTTTTATCAGAAATAAGTATTCTTTTACATAATTAAGAAAAAATTAATTTTATTTTTTCATTAATTGCCCTTATATATATATTCGAATGCGTCAGTTATCGATATGCAAATTTTAATTAAGGGTAATTTAGTCAATTTTTTTCTAGGAATTAGTATTTTCTTAGAGAGGTGCCAAAAGCTAAAAGTTAGTTATTATATATCGGAGGGAGTATTTTTTACAAGGATAAAGCTAATACGTTATGAATTTTATATTATATAGAAACATGTATATTTGTATTAAAAAATTTACGTAGTTTTTATTAAAAGAATTACGTAGTTAGTTCTTTAGATGCGATATTCGTTCTTTAGGAAAAAGAACTAAGGTTCGCCCATTAGTCATTAGATTAAGAAAAACAAAAGAAAAAGCATAAGAAAAAGAAGGGCCGACAGTGAAAAGCAAAGAAATAAAGAAAAGAAAAAAGAGAAAGGAAAAAGCCATATAACCATGATTAAATCCACCGCATTTTAAACCACAGACCGCCATTTTGACACGAATTTGTATGCAAAAAAGTAAAAAAGAGGAATGAAACAACAAAAAATAAAATAAAATAAAAATGAAAACAAGAATTCCAAATTCTGTTCATTTTTCCCCCCTTCTTCTATTCTTCTTCCAGTTTTAGTAAAGTGACCAAAACAAGAATCATTATTTCATGGCCAAACCCGAGAGAGTGTACCAGTCTTGGAAAGGGAACAATGTAAGTTTCTTTCTAGTCCATATATTTATGTTATACATTATAATATGCAAACTGTTGTGTAGTGTATTCTTTCATTTTCTTTCTAATTAAGCTCATTCTTTTCTAAAAATATGACTAATTGTGTGTGCTTATATTGTGTTAAAACTCAATGGTTTGGTTTTACTTTGTGGAACTTGATCTGGATTTTTGTTGCTTTACTTGCTTGTCTTCAACAAGAAAGAAGATTTTGCTTGTTGGGGTTTGCTGGTTTGAGTTGTACTTTGTTTTTTGTTTTTTTTATAATTCTGGGCCAGCTTGCACGTTTCTCCACTATTGCATCACATACATGCCATCTCCTACCAGCAGGGGCGGATCTAGCATGTGGAATACGGTTTCGGTAGAACCCAATAGCTTTGGTTCAAATCCCATATTTGTCTTAGGAAATCCATTAAATATGTACTAATTGATTAATTTAGACACCAGTAACTTAAACAAACTACAATTTGAACTCATAAACTTCAAATTCTAGCTCCGCCTTTGTCTACCCGCTATAGGGTAACTTTGCCGACCAAAGTTTAGGCATTTGAGTGCTGGGTTGAGTTGTATTAGTTCATTATTTCTTTTGAGCTTAAGATTATACAAATTGGAGAGTATACTTTGATTTTGTTTTCGTAGCTAATGGCTTTTTAGGGATATGAGTATTTGGTGTGCATAAATTTTGTATGCATTTTTATCTACTTTGGAGGAATTTAATCTGGATTTTTGTTGCTTTACTTGCCTTTTTTCAACAAGTAAAAAGATTTTGTCTTGTTGGGTTGCTGAATTTAGTTGTATTAGTTGATTATTTGTTTGAACTTAAGGGTCATGTATCCTTTAATATTGTTTGGTAAGCTAATGGTTTCTGAAGGGTATTGTTAATTAGTTGTCCTTATATTGTGCTTAAAGTCTATAATTTGGTGTACTTAAGCAGAATTTGATCTGGGGTTTTTTCGCTTTAATCACCGGTCTTGGACAAGATATGAAAGTTTGGTCTTTTGGATTGCTGGATTAGTTGTATTGGTTTATCACATGTTTGAGCTTGAGGATTTCGGCGTCTTACATATTGTTTCTTGCTTGTTGATGGGATGATGATGTATTAGTAGTAATGCTATAGTTTCAGTTAGTTATTTAGGTTTATTGTTTTAGGTGAACGATTTGACACTGTTGTGGATTTTCTACGCATAGGTGAACTGCAATCGCACATGGTAACCTTGACTAGGTATCAGTTACCGAAATTATGTTAACCTTGACTTTATTTGAATATTGAATGGGTGTGGTTTTGAAGTCAAAAGTAAAACTTAAGGCAGTCGGCTTCACCAGTGCTTCACTTGGCAATCACTAGTTTGTTGATGTTATTATTTGGCATGAGATGCCAATATAGGATTTATTCTTCTCTGATGTTGTGTTGGCATTTAACTTTTGTTTTTGGGTAATGTTTATAATCTGCAGAAATTCTTATTTGATGGGAGGCTGATATTCGGACCAGATGCTAAGTCACTGATCGTCACCTTTACGCTTATCCTTGTCCCTGTTGTTACATTTTGCGTATTTGTTGCAAGAAATCTTGTTCACGAATTCTCAACAGGAAGTACAGGATATGCAATTATGGTCTTAGCAATTGTCTTCACAATCTATGTTAGTTCACTTCCCTTTATTGGGCCTGTAATATTCTATCGTTTGTGGGGCAGAGTTCGGCTAAATACTTCATTTCCTTCTTACTTTCTGCTAGCAGATACTGTTAAACTTGTGACCATCACACTTTAAATTACTTAATTGTATTTTATCTAAACACGCCCCCTCATGTCTGAGCCTGATTCTTTTTCATGGACCAAGCATTTGGAAATATTTCTCTTTGTTTTTTTTTTAGGTGGTGGGGTGAGATTTAACAAAAAATCTCTTGCCTACTCCGATACCATGTTGAACCGTGTGACATCTCATCTAAAAGCTTAAGCTTTTAGTTAGTACATTTGTAGCTGCAGTCCCCTAGTACCATCGTGCTTTCTTCTGTTGTTTTATTAGTACTTCATAGTCTTGATATTGTGCTGCTTGTGATAGGTCTTCTTGCTTCTATTTGCAACATCAACTAAGGATCCTGGCGTTGTTCCACGTAATTCTCATCCTCCAGAGGAAGTGTTAGGTTATGATTCTTCAGCTTCCAATGAAGCTGGTGGGAAACCTTTGCCTCGCACCAAACAAATCCTAGTCAATGGTCTGCCCGTGAAAGTTAAATATTGTGAAACATGCATGTTGTATCGTCCACCAAGATGCTCTCATTGCTCAGTATGTGATAACTGTGTGGAGCGGTTTGATCATCACTGCCCTTGGGTGGGTCAATGCATTGGAAAGGTAATGGATCTTCCTTCTCTACAACTCTTTTTATGACTACTTTATGGTTTCTTAAGGAGAAAAAAGCAGTACGCGTTCCCTGTTTGCTTTGTATCAGTTGCTTATGTGCTTGTAAATGAAAGGTCTATGAGAAAGAACTTCAACTTTCTACGTTTAGCTGCTCCTTCACTGCCTCTTGAGACTCGTTTGTTTCTTTTTTGGTGTACAGCGCAACTATCGTTGCTTCTTCCTATTTGTTTCGTCAACTGCTCTCCTCTGTGTTTATGTCTTTTCCATGTCGGCGTTATATCTTAAGCTTCTTGTGGATGATTATGGAACTATTTGGAAGGCTATTAAAGTATCGCCTGCGTCAGTGGCACTGATGGCGTATTGTTTTGTTTCGCTGTGGTTTGTTGGAGGTCTCACTGGCTTCCATTTGTATCTCATATGTCGAAATCAGGTTAGTCTTTTACACCTCTATGTCAATATATAATTTAATTCTGATGTGCTTTAGTTTACAACAAGAATTAACTTTTCATAAGATAAAAATTACGAGGCTGTCGAATACAGATCAGAAAATGAATTTCATATCAATGTGCTCTTTTTTTTTTCCCATTCGTGATTTTGATTTGTTTTTCTATAGACCACATATGAGAACTTTCGTCATAGAGGACTAAGAGGAGATAACAGGATCAATGTGTATGACCGAGGTTGCACGAACAATTTTCTTGAAGTATTCTGCTCAAGGATTGAACCTTCGAAAAACAATTTCCGCGGATATGTGCATGAAGAGGCATTAAAGTCTAGCAAGGTAGGAAACATTCAAGTAACGGAAGTTGATACCTCTGATGGGGATAGAAGAGTCAAGGTAGAAGAAGATCTTGAGATTGGAGATGATCTCATGAAGATATCCCAACGACGTAACTCTCAAGATATTGGAGATATTCGAGGTAGAGGAAGCGACAGGTCACCCATAAGTCGTTCTGAGCTTGACTTTGGATTTGGTCTGGAGTCACAGTTTTCGTCCAGATCAGAGAGTCGCCATTCTGGCTGGTGAAGCTGAAGTGATGGTAACTGAACCGATAATAACATCTTGATTTTGCAGTCAGTTCCAAGATTTGAAATATGATACATTAAGGTGTCTAGCCATCAAAATGCATCTCGAGTGCTCTTTCCGGGTAACATTCTTGCTCAACCTCTTTTCGTGGACGAGACCAGGCACAGAACAGCACAAAACACAGATAATCTGTTGACTTTGATAATATTTTTGCTGGTTATTATTTGCTGAAAGAACTAGGAAGATATGTCAAAGGCATTTGAAAACGTATACATGTAATCATTCTTTTCCTGTTACCCTTCTTCCTATATGGGTTAAAAGGGCAGCCTGGTGCACTAAGCTCCCGCATAGGGTCCGGAAAAAGGCCGGACCACAAGGGTCTATTTATGCAACCTTACCCAGCATTTCTGCAAGAGATTGTTTCCACGGCTCGAACCCGTGAGCTCCTGATCACATGACAACAATTTTACCAGTTACGCCAAGGCTCTCCTTACTATGTGTGTTATATTGTGAAATTTAGCACTGGCTCTGCCTTTTAATGTCACAAATTGATGATGTGTGGCCTGCTTCAAGCCAAATATTATTGATGAAGGGGGATATAAATTACACTTTTGCTCAGAGAAAATGATAAAAATTAGTATTATACACTGTTTTCTTAGCTAAACTTGTGAATGATGGAAAAGTATTAAAGAGAATAGAGTCGATTTTTGTATAACATTAGTATATTGTTTGGCAACTAGGAAAGAAAAAGAGAAAGGAGAAGTAGGAGGGGAAGTGGGAAAGAATAAGATTCTTTTGCACATTAAATCTGTCCAAGTGGAGCATGACTTCTTTCAATTGCCAAAAAGGAAAAAAGACATTATTAAGTTATTGTCCTGGGTATTTGTTTATAGTTTATTGTCTTGGGTACAGTCAAATCTTTGTATAACAGTCATTTTTTATAACAACACTTTATTATAACGGACAAATTTTATTTGGAATCAATTGTTCATACTTCATATTATGTTATAATATATGTTCTTTATAACAATAGTTCACTATAACAATAAAAAAATATCGGAACAAACAAGTCTATTATAGAGTTTTAACTGTATTTTTTAAAGCCTTTTAGTAAGGAAATGCATTGCAAACTCAAATTACATATAAACTCTTCGATCGTGTTAGACTTGTGTCTGATTTAAGTAATACAAGTATGGCACTTTGTGCGAATTATTCGGAATACATCAATAGAGTAAGTAGAGTTATCAAATATTTATGTGGATAGAAAGTAACAAGTATTCCATGGATTAATTGTGTTAGGCAAACTGATCTTGTTCCACCATTGTTAAAAACTATATAAATATCTATATTTGATAATTAGACGCCGCAAATGATTTGCACGTTATTGAAAAAAGTCTCTATAATATTATTTTCTTTAAAAAAAATAAAAAAATTTGTGCTTCATACCACTAACACAAATGTGTGAAAATTCTCTTTGTTTGACAAGTGAATTTTAATTCATAATTTTCGCTTGTCAAACATAAACAAATTCTCTCAATAATAGCTTTTGAGGAGAAGTAGAAGCAGAAAAAAGTAGCTTATCTCCAAAAATACTTTTCAGAGAAGTACTTTTGAGAAAAATACATTTAGAAGTAGTTTTTAAAAGCTTGGCAAACCTAATTACTGCTCAAAAATATTTTTTAAATTAATTAGTTAAGCACAAATTGCTTATCACCAAAAATACTTTCTTAAAAAGTATTTTTGATAAATTCCTTCTCAAAATAAGCTGATTTTAGAAACTTGTGTCAATTGTGCAAGATAAAATAATTTTTTTGAGATTTTAATTAAAAAAACATTACATCCTAGCCCCCTTCTACAAGAAAACGAGATTGAAAGAAAAGAGAAAAAGATACTAAAACAAAGAAAAAGTAGCATAAGGACTCAAAAGAGTAAAATAGACCGTCTTCAACACTGGATACTTTCCTTCTCTCTCTCTTAGGGTTCCGCAACGATCTCAATCAAGTTCCCGAACTCGAATTCAAAAATGGTAATTCACTATTCTACACTTAAATTCCTCAATTTCAGATCTTATTTCGTCACATAGAATGTAATTTTATTGCTCAATTTTCAGGAAGGTGATGGGAAATTGGAAGCGCAAATAGAGGCACTGTTGAATGTAGAGAAGCAAATGAGGCAAGCTGGCGATGTTGCGGGTACGAGGAAAGCGGCCACCGATATTCTTCAGCTTTGTTTCGAAGCTCGTGCTTGGACAATACTTAATGAGCAGATTGTTCTCTTGTCTAAGCGTCGTGGTCAATTGAAACAGGTAAATTTTTACTCTCTTCCTTCTAATTTGTATAATGTTGATTCACTGTGCTCGGAGTTTATGAAAAAAAAAAAAACTTTTGATGATTAGTATAATGAAAGCACCTGTTTATTCTGTCTCTTTTTAAACTTCGAAGCTAATCAATTTATTGTGCTAGATGGTTTGATGGATTTTGTTTGTATCCTTGGTGTTTTTAGGTAATATTTCGTGTTGAAATTTTGTATGAGTTTAGTTTCATTCATTAGTATGGTTGAATTGGAATGTGTCATGAATGAAGAAACTCTTATGAGTGAATTTAGAGCAAAGACACCAAGCGGAAACGAATTGAAGCTCAATAAAGCAGCAGTGAGACAGAGAAACATAAACTATGAATAGAATACAAAATATGGAAAATACAATTTGGGAGACCATACTATGGAAATATAAGATTTTATGAAGTGTTAGTAAGACCCCATGGCTAATATTAATTTTTCTAGCATATTAATTAATATTAATATATAAATATATATAATAATAAGTTATTCATATAAATAATAATAAATAAGACGAATGAATGAGTTCTTTTTGATTCTGCATCTTCACGTGACTCAATTAATCCTCTAGAATTTCGAAGCTATCTTTTCCATGGTGCCCAAAGATATAGCAGAGGGATTGGTTGTGGTATGCAGTGATTATGGTCTCCGATGTAGACTTCTTTAGTAAAATTTGGGTTGCACCTTATTGGTGCTTTCTAATGTTTGTTCACTTACCTTCAGAAATAATCAATAAAAGTCATATGCATTTGGTGGGAGGAAGAGAGGATCTTCCTTTTATATAATTCACTCATCATCTGCATGAGTTCATGTGTAATGTGGCTACATGTATATGGATTTGGATGCTTGGGGTGTGCTTGGCTACTACCATGGTACAATTGAATATATGCTCCTATTCCATTGCTTTAGGAAGTGCTTATCTAGGTAGGCTTTTTCTTTACATAACATATTGTGTGTAGAACTATCAACTGTTAATAGAATATTGTGAAGGCATATTGTGTGTAGGATGATCTTATGGATTTGTTTTTCCTACTAAAACTGCATGGTGATTTTGTATAGTGGTTTCTTTGGGCTTGTGCAGGCAGTACAGGCTATGGTCCAACAAGCGATGCAATATATTGACCAGACACCAGATCTTGAAACTAAGATAGAACTCATCAAGACCCTGAACAATGTGTCTGCAGGAAAGGTAAGTTTTTTTCTTAAAAAAAATAAAAAAAATAGAACACTTCAGTTAGCCTTCTTCTTTCTCACTGAGGAACTTTGATCTTGCATGTAGATATATGTTGAAATTGAGAGAGCACGATTGATTAAGAAACTTGCAAAGATTAAAGAAGACCAAAAACTCATAGATGACGCTGCCGATTTGATGCAAGAAGTGGCGGTCAGTATTTGTTGACCTTCTCCTCGGTGACTTCTAGCTCTTTTTGCTTCTAGTAATCAGTATTAAACTGAACAGAAGAGTCCCCTTTTTCTTTCTGAAAGAAGCCTTTTGGATTACTTACTTGCAATGTTAACCATCTCTGGGTGTATTGACTGACAGGTTGAAACTTTTGGGGCAATGGCAAAAACAGAGAAGATAGCTTTTATTCTTGAACAAGTATGTCTTGCTAATCTTTTACTTTCTAGTGAAAACCGAAGCCTGGCTTGGGCTAATTATCTAATGCTGAACTCTGCAGGTGCGTCTCTGTTTAGATCGTAAAGATTATGTTCGTGCACAAATACTCTCTAGAAAGATCAATCCCAAAGTGTTTGAAGCTGATCCTTCCAAAGAAAAGAAGAAACCAAAAGAAGGTGAAAATGTGGTCGAAGAGCCTGCACCAGATATTCCATCTCTGTTAGAGTTGAAGCGAATCTACTATGAATTAATGATTAGGTCTGTGGATTATGCTTCTTCACTGATTGTACCTCAAGTTATTTTATCTTACTTTTCAAGTTCATGTCCATTTTACAATTGAATGTGGTTAAAATGTGCATTCTCGTGAAACATTCTGGTAGTGCACATTTTGCATCTTATTGGGTTTGTCTTTTAAATGAATTTGAGCTACTTGTGCTTCTTTTAGTTAATCCTCCTTATGGTGGCAGGCATTTGGCAATGATACTGAGTAGAACTTACTGCTGTTATCAACTGTTCTGTGCTACTAATAAAAGGATGCTTATTTAGTCTGCTTGTACACAAAAATTTTAGATTTTCCACCAAAGAGATAACATTCATGCTTGTGATATCACGCTTACCTGATACCAGATCTTTGTATCTGAGCTATAGTTCTCCTTTGTTGTATTTTGAGATTGGTTTTTGTAATGAATGGACTTTCAATACCAGTAATGAAATGATCCGATTGAAAAATGTCTCAGTACCGGTCCCAGCTAGTTTGGGATGGAAGCATGGTTGGTTGAAACATTGATTGAACTCAACATTGCATTGGGACCGGAATGCTTAGCTGTTAGGAGGTCAATTATAGTTTCATCTGTACTCGCTTTTTCCCTCCAAAAAGTTTGTCATTGGTTTTTGAATGCTAGACAGTTGTTATGTGGACTCTAACATCCTTTTTAGCAGTGGCGAATGATTATTTTACAAATGCTAAAACAATATTTATAGTAGGGTCTCTCTTTCTCCCTCCCTCCCTCCCACCATTTTGCTGCTTTGCATGCGCATGATTGTGCACAAGCTGCATATGGTTGTAACATGCTTAATGGAAATGGTAATCTATAGAGGTCTTCAGCAGTTCTATCTACCTATATGGCCTAGTTAAGATCATGTAATCTCTTTACTACAATTCAGGCACTTGAGTTGCTTACTCGGGTTTGAAGTGGGAGAATCCTTTTGAAACTCAAGTCATGCTTCTTATCGCAGACCATATCATTCCCTTAGCCATATCATTCTCTTAGTGGAAGTTTCATGCTTGAGCGGGGACCACTTCCCTGTCAGAATCTGAAGGAATTAAGAGTCTTGATCCGTGCTAACCTGAAGGGAAACCTCTGAATCCAGAGAAAGATTGACTATATTGTGAGAAGATAGAAAGTGGCCAAGAGCGAACTATACTACATGAGGATAGTATAAGCTGTTGTATCTGCCATTGTGACCTAGTTAAGATAATGCTTTTTTTAAAGTTCAGGCACCTGAATTTGATTTGGGAAATTCCATTGACACTCAAGTCATGCGTCGCATCATAGACTTAAGTCCATGCTCTTCATAGAAGAGTTTTACGTTCGAGTGATGCCCACTGTGGCCAGCACTTGATTGCACCTGATTTTCTTTGACTTATATGTTTTGTCGATTCTAGAGCCTGAAGGAACTCACTTAGTTATGTACTATAAGATTACTGTAAACACTTCTATAAAAATGGGAGATGGAGTTGTTGCATCTGGAACCTTGCTTTGCATTTGTTTCGTCTTAAACTTGTCACTTGTCAGACATTCTTTTATCCCGTGCTGCAGGTATTACTTTCATAGCAATGATTACCTTGAGATATGTCGCTGTTACAAGGCCATATATGAGATCCCTTCTGTAAAGCAAGACCCAGAACGGTGGATACCAGTAAGTCTAGCTCATGTATATTTTTGGATGCTAGTTATAGTACACGGCGTAATGCATGTGCGGTGTATTCATTTTCAGGATTGTGTTCCTGACTAAGAGATCTTAACTAGAGAATTAATCTATAATATCAACGTCGTGCAACAGTTAACATCATTTACAATAACTAATTCCAATTAGAACATTGGTGTCACAAGTAAAAGATGGTGTTGAATATTATAGTATTTACTCGATAGAGCATTTTTTTTT